GGCTGCAGATTATCAACATTTCCGGTCCAAGAAAAGCCAAAGCTTGAATAACTCTCATCGTATTTACGATTCGGTCGCGGTTTTGCTTTCTTACTAGAACAACTTTCCACATTTGAGGTTTGCTCACTTTCAGGATTACATTCATCAATGTCACGCTTCTTTTTAAGAAACTTATCCATTTTTATGGGTGAATTATTCTTAACATAGACAATTATATCAATGGTAATTATTCTGAAACTTGTAAAAGGCACAATACTGTTGCGTCAGCGAGTCACATGACTAGTGTGACGCCACGTTTCTAGAACTATCCCGTACCTTGGCGAATGCTCTAGTATTTACTAGATATAGGGTAGTCTGGTATATAAAAGAGGGTGACAACGTGACGGGAGAATAATGTAATGTGTGTGTAGGTAATGAGAGAGACGTATTGTTGAAGTTAACGTTCGTTGATATAGCGTTTGTTTTAGCGCGATTGTTGAAAACAAGTGTATCGTAACAGTTATATTCGGAAATAATAAACTAGTTTTATTAAGTAAGGACTTGTGTCGCTAAAGTTTCGTCGGAACGAAGTTACGGGAAGTTAATTAACGAACGGAGACGTAACACTATGATATACTAATAAGTAAACCTTCAAGTAGAGTTGAATGCACGATGCACGACTAAATACTATAACAACTGACACTAATCCACAGTTCCTTATGTGGTATGTTACATTCCAATGAAACTTGGCCCATGGATACTTGGAAGATGGATTTACAGAGCAAAGAATAGTTGGTACGTAATTATTCAAATGTCTTTGTGAGTCAGATTACTTACACCTTTTAGGGGTGTAAATTCTGCCATAGACGAACTTCAGGATCAAGTTTTCAGTTTAGCTAAAACAGGGAAGAACGGGCCATGAAAAATACCACTTCCCAATAACAAAAATTATAAAAAAGTGGCAAAATTATTTTAAAGAAATAACTCCACTTGACCTGAAGTCATTACACAAAAAAACCACGACTACATGTAATTAATCAGTTGTATTTTCTAACTTTCTTGAATTTTTTTGATGAAACAAACTAACCAGCAAAGCTGTCCTAAGACAAGCTAATACTTACATATAATAATTATATTATGAATACTAAAACAACTTGCAATGAACGTGTAAAAGTTAACAAAATTACCTTACATAATGTAGGCTATTCTACTACCGTTTATATCATAGTTTAGCAATTACTTTCAAAGTTCCAGCGTCTGGCCTGCCTTTGTTTGACAACCTTCTGTATGAAATATATGAACGACCTAGAGTTTAATTGTTAGACTAGTAGTATACTACTTAAGTTAAACTACGACCACATTTTAGTTTATATTGAAACACTTAAAATGACAAAGATGTTTTACCGTTTCATCAATTGCATATGAAACTCCAGCGTGACTGTTATCAAGTGGTTGCAGTTCCGTCATCGCAACGTTTCTTTAGACAATGTTCCCACATACAACTTTCAACACAGATATCCCGTACGACCAACTGACATTTATCTTTCCGCGTCAAACGGTTCCGTAAGCCAATGTTCGATACTACAGCGCTACCTAGGCACTAGAAATTGTAAACCTTATAAATAATTATCGCTAATATTTCACAACATAAAATTCATTGGGAAAACAAAACTGAATGTATCCGGCGTCAGATAAAACCGGTAAATTTATAATACTATGATTTTTCATCGGCAGTTAATCATGAAATAAAGCAATGTAAATCTTAATATTTTTTTCACTGTTTTATGGATTATCTTCTTTTTATGTTGAAAATAGATACTGCAAGCTCTTAATATTGCAAACCTGAAAATAATCCTGCATTATCGCTACTTGAAAATTATTTACAAAGTTATTAGTTATCGGCAATTATTCATTTCCGTTATAGGAAAAAAAATACATTTTGCCTATGCAAAAAGAAAGAAAGAAAACTGTTCTATATCTCTTGCTATAGGAACACCAGTGTAATTAAGTTTTTTCATATAAACTGTAGTAAAATATATTTTTAAAGTCAAGTTTAACGTGTGCAATAACCCATCAAGATATATTATTGAAAGCTAACTTGTCCTAAAGACTTTTTGTATAAACAATGAGTAGTCTAGTAAGATGTAAACATTTCTTTGCTTTCCTCAATGGATAAGAGTCCGTTTTATTTCATTAAAATGTTTATAATTTTTTAGTAGATTAGAATTCTTAAGTTTTCCAAATCACGCGCCCAAATACGGTAATTGTATGATTATTAAATGCTATGTGCTTGCCCTGGTGGTTCAATGGTAAGTTTGAGGGCTATTCTCGCTAAAGCTCTGGTTTCGATACCCTTGGTGGGCAGAGCACAGCTACCTCATTGTGTAGCTTTTGTGTTAACAACAAGCAAAATAACTACGTGGTCAAATTATTGTTATCAAAAATAAACTTCCTTCCACTGCCTATATTCTGATGTCAAACTCTGCTTACCAGCAGTGAAAGTATTTACAATGTGAGGTGTATCATGGAATATATGTAATATGTCTGTATATCAATAACACAGCGATAGCTATTTACAATCAATAATTTTAAAAGATTATAGTTAATTCTTTTATGAATTATAATTATGATGTATGTTTCTTATCCTGAAGATAGTAAAAAAAGAAAAAAAGATGATAGATATGTTAAAGTTTTTCTTGATACAATAATATAAATGATCACGTAAAGCTCTTTGACCTTAGAGTTGCAAAATTCTCAAATTGTCAACCCGTATGCGAACAAAGGTTAAGTCAATATTCTACTACACGTAACAATATTCCAAGGCATAAAGGGATCAAGTGGACCTCAGGGAATATGTTATAGACTTCCTGATAGGTCTCCAAAAATATCAAAGTTAATTTTTGTAAATGTGTCAAAACAAGAAAGAAAATGCCTTTGTCAGTATGAATAACGTCCATGTTGCAGTTTTTCTGAAAACAACTAAATAGAAAATAATGAAATCGAAGAACTTCCTAGGTCATAAGTACATTTAACTAAGGTATTAATGCTGTATATACACTTATTTGACATATTTAATATAAGTTTTGTATTGTTTTTAATCAAAAAGAAAGCAAAAATGCTACGTATAATTTAAATATATAAATAAACGGATAGTTGTTGTTCGTCGATAATTCGATGGAATTTAACAATGCTTTATTTGAAAGTTACAGGTAAACGGAAAATAAAGATTCTTGATTATTCTGAATTTTGCCTAAAGGCTTTTGCAATATAGAAATAACGTGCATGAATTTTGATGAAACTTAATGGCTCAGAATTTTATCCATAATTTTGTATTTTAAACATTTTTTCTCTACCAGCCTTGGGTTACTCTTTACCAACGAAAAAATGGGATAAACCATCACTTTATAACGCTACGACCATTGAAAGGGCGAGCATATTCGGCAATGAATTTTAATCACACGACCCTTAAATTGCGAGCACCTTACCATCAGGTCATGCCAGATTTTCTTTTGAAGAAATTCTGACTGATCAAAATTTAACTTCGTTTGCTTTCACCTAGCTAGTGAAGTAGAAGGGAAGGGTGGTTAATCAATAAATGAAGCTACGAGGACAAAAGAAATGGGATATTTATCTGTAAGTTAATAACTAGAAGATATATTTGAAACCACTGTTTCCTTCATTTTAATATCAACGTTTGTTTAGATTAAATTTCTATTTAGAAATATACATAGCTTATACTGTTAAATATGTATTGGGAAACTCCCACCTATTCTCCAAAGTTGAAGAAGATTCTCGAATCGTACCTACATATACTCGTAATTAACTCGCTCATGGTGAACCCTCGATAAGATATCAAGGAAGTTCCAGACTGGAGAGAAAACTTTATATTGCTTTTAAGTTTGTGAAATTTTTGTTTATAAACCATTGTTTGTAATAAATATTTGTA